ATATATATATATATATATATATATATATATATATTCGCACTAAACCTCAATTCTCCTTTAAAAGAATTTCCATCTTTTTCTCCTTTGGTACTTCATCCACGATAACTCTTCCATTGAATGAGACTCCTGCAAAGACCCAAGGACCACTACTACTCCAACAGGCATCCACGACAGAGTCTGCAAAGTCTGTGAGTCGTCTTAAGCATACGGCCTGTTCTTCACTTGCATCCTGCTTAGAGGCATCCCACAACTTTAATGTGTGGTCTGAACCACAAGACAATAATAATTCATCATGAAATGGATTAAAGAGTGCTTTATGAGCAATGTGATCATGAGCTTTTAAATGACGTCTCTTGTACGCTAAGCATTCTGAACCATTCATGCGAATATCATGCCAAAGAACAAAACCATCATCACCAGATGATAATAAGATATTTGCTTGGCAACTACTAAAATCTATACAACGTGTTTGACCAAATCCATGGAGAGCGTTAGTGTTCCCGATAGAAACAGGTTGTTTTTTTCTTGTATCGATCAAATATAATCCGTTACCTTCACATGCTACAATACACACAGATGAATGATGAGGGTCTAATGCGGCATAATTAATTTTTTTACAACCCTCCACTTTAAAACTAGAGACTTCCTTTCCTCCTCTCCCTTCATCCAATGTGTAGACTATAAGAGCACTCCCTGCCGTTACCCGCACCTCATTCTGCAGTCCTTCCAAATCCCAGAGAACCTGCGAAGTCGCTGCGGCAAAAGATGCAACTTCTTGCAATTCACCGGATATTAATTCGGGTACGCGAAAAACACGAGATTGTGAAGATGATCGCACTGCTAATAAACTTGGCTCCGTAAGGGATGGTGAACTCCAGAGTCCATACACCTCTTCCTCGTGAAACCACACCATTGTACACTCAAGCAGTCGAGCCTCATCTTGATAATCCAATAAATGTATTTTATTTCCCCCGGCAAAACACGATGTGCCTACAATAAATCGATGGGAGGTCATACTACCATTGGATGGATGATAAAACGGCGCTATCGCACGGGCCTGAAACTCTAGTCCATAAGCCGCAGCAGCCTGCATCCCCTTTTGTTTTTTATTTTCTACCCCGTTAATAAGATACAGGTAAACTGAGAAATAGAAGAAAGGTATCATTTTATTTTATTTTTATTTACACGAAAAACAAAACAAAGCAAAAAAAAAAAAAAAACAAAACAAGGAAGAAGAAGAAAAAAAAAAAAAAGAAACAAACATATACAAACAAATACCGAGAAACATATGTTTGTTGGCTTTTGACACCGTTGCGCAGGGATAAATATTACGCTCAATCTTAATTCAGGTGTACCCTGAAAACAGTGGTTTCTTTTTTTTTTTTTTTCTTGTTGCCGCTTACTCTTAGTGTTTCTCGCCTTTATATATATATATATATATATATATATATATATATATATATA